AATTGGCGATTTCAGGATCCCCTGGTGTTCTTGAGAGAGTTGGATGAAAATGGCGTACAAAGGATATATATAACAGAGTAATGGCAGTTCCATCCATCAAGGAACCCCATTAACTGTCACTTAATCAATTTGTCACACGTGTTTCTTCATTTGGCGCCAAAACGGGTAACACATGTTGATCAATATTATCATATATAGACGTATGTATAAATAAGTCATATGGTCTTATATAAATCATTGGATTGTTATTCTTCAATTCATCTTGTTCATTAAGATGATCATATACATATATATCTATATATGCTACATTTATAGGACACTTTCTCATAGATGCAGAAAACCACGACCAAGAGAAAGAAGATGAAGAGCAAAGGAGATGCAGAAAACCACACTACCAAAAGAAAGAGATGCAGAAAACCACGACCAGGAAGACGAAGATGCAGAACGAAGGAGTAGCAGCAATGGAGTTGGTTAGAAAACTTTCATGAGTGAATATGAATAAGAGCTCCTACCCTATTATTTGGATAATCACTACAACAAAATCGGGTTTACAGGACACTCTCAATTTCTAATATACCTCTTTATAAGACTTAGTTTATAAGACCAAAAAACCAAAGTGTCCTATCTAAAGGCGTTATAATAAGTTTATATGACGTTTTTTAATGTCGTAATAAGTTTTTTAGGACACTTTTAATATAAAGCATCTCATTAGCAAATTTATAAGACACTATTTGAAAAACTGTTCTATAAAAACAAATGTCCTATAAAAAATTGAGTTTATAGGACACTTTCTCAAAAGTGTCCTATAAAGTTGCTAATGTGATACTTTATATTAAAAATGTTCTAAAAAACTTGTTAGACGCCTAAAAACGTCATTTAAGTTTATTACAACACATTTAGATTGGACACTTTATATTTTGGTCATATAAATTAAGTTCTATAAAACAGTCTATTGGAGACTTAGAGATTGAGGGTATCCTATAAATTCAGTTTTGTTGTAGTGAATCAAATGGTTTTTTATTAAGCCGCAAATAAAGTTGTGTGAATAGGCCCATTGTTTGGGTGGAAAAAAAAATCCATAACCTATACCGACTAGGATAAACCTTCGTGACTGTAATCATTATTAAATTCTGTATGAAGTAAGTTGTCTGTATAAATTAAGTTGTTTGTTTTAATTAAATTAAAATGTTGTTTGTTTGTTTATTGAACTTAATAAATTGTTTGAATGATTTAAAACATCATTTTATCCTTATTATTTGTTTTTGTTAACAAAGATTAAAACAGATCGACCTTTAAGAAATTCCACCATCACTGCTTTCAAGAAATGAAAGCAAAAATCTTGATAATACTCTTTGAGGTGGACCTCGATCCTTATGAGCTTAGCAAATAAGTTCATATTCATATCATTATGCCACTTTTAAACAAGTATCTATGGTTTATCGAAAAAGCTATGCATGTCATTATGCCCATTAAGCTATTTCTAAATATAATCGAATAAGAATACTTTATTCGGTTGAGTTTCAATTATATTATTTACAATTTCGGTTAAATTGAATAGCAAATTATACCATATTTTACTTATAGATAATTGGTTTGAGATTTTGAGCATATAGAACGGTTAATATATGATAAACTAGTTTATATTAAAGTTATAAACAAGATAATAGTAAAACGATACAAAAGAGCTAGATATTGAGGAGGATTTAACAGTACAATACACAAGATATTGAGACAGATTTATTTCCTATCATCACAACAACATTGGTTTTATAGGACTCCTAGATTGTCTAAGCGTCCTAATAAAATATTTATAGAACTTAGTTTTTATATGATCAACTATAAAGCGTTATATAAGAAGCTTTTAAGCATTCTAACAAGTTTTTTTAGAATGTTTTCAAAACAAAATGTCCTATTAGTTATTTTATAAGATATTTTTCAGAAATATTCTATACACTCATCTTTATATAGAACATTTTTTCAAATAGTGTCGTATATAATCATTAACACGACACCTTTTATTTTAAAAAGTGTCCAAAAAACTTGTTAAAACGCCTTAATGCATATTATAAACCTATAGTAATATTTTTAGATATAACTTTTGTTGATTTGTTCCAATAAACTTAAGTCCTATAAAGTATTTTTTTTAAGACGATTTTACATTTTAAATGTTGTATAAATTTAAGTTTGTTGTAGTGAATAGTTTTGGAAGAAAAATCCAAATATATGGGGTTTGGTAAAAAATAAATGGATTCTTTAAACATAAAACAAAACCATTATAAAATGTGAAAGAAAAATTAAAGTTAATTAATCCATACTTTTCAGATTTGATTGGGTCAGCCAATTACCTAGAAAAAAACATTTAAAGAAATGACTTATTTAATGTGTTTGGTTTGTATAATTTAAAATGAAATCGGATTTTATTTTATATAAATAATTTAATAAATAATAAAAATAATTAGATTACTTTTTATTAATAGATTATTACAAACTCATTTAAGATCACCAAAGAAAGCCAATTTTTTAATTGTTCAGAAAGTCATAGATTTAATTAAAAACTCAATTGATATCATATACACCTCATTTTATAATTACGATTATCTTTGGTGGTGGTAAGGGCGTCCAACGGGGAGGGGAGGGGAGGTGGGGAAGGCAACCAATGAGTTGGGTTCCAGTGAGAAGGATAGTTCAGGCGAGAAATGTAAGAAGAAATCTTCACTCTTTAATGTACATTAGGATGAGATGCACATGATCAGTCCTCGTATCAAACGCGATTCATAGGTAGGTTTGAAATTAAAGATGAATAAGGGTTCAGATCCCTTCTTATGTTTCTCACTTTAACTCTCATTCTCACACGATCTTTCGTCTTAGGTTGATGTTTTTATTGTTGGTATAAATTACAAAATTCTAATAAAAAGTACTATAACTAATTCTATATGAAAAAGAAATCCACGTCGTGTCAACAAATAATATTAAGGTGGATGACATGTCATTCAGCTAATAGTTGAACAAGTTAACAAAGTAGTTAAAAATTTAAGATATGGATCACATCTTGAAATAAAAGTTGTAAAAATTTAAAGTATGTTATATGTTCATCCAATTTGCAAGGATGTGTCGAAAGAAGAAAAAAAAAAGCTCATGTAAAGTTTAAATACCGACATCGACAAGAATAAAACTAATCATGATTTGTTATTGGAATTATACTCAAAATTCTTGTCTATGTAGTGCGTTGATTAGGACATAAAGTTTCGACAATAATTATGTGTATTTGACAATTACTAAATAACTTGTCGATGATGAACTTCCGCACGGTCCTTCATATGAAGGAAACAAATGATAACAAAGACGAAGATACAAATATGGTGATCTTATAATGGCCGTAACAGTAAATTGCACGATTAGTGAAACTTCCTATGTTATGTTTTTTTCTCAATATCCGAACATAGTATCATCAACTTCTATAACAAAATCGGGTTCTTAAGATGCTAAAAATGTCTAAGTGTTTTAATAGACTATTTTATATGACTTAAGTTTATAGAACTAAACAATTGTATGTCTTCTATAAAAGCATTGCAATAAATTTATAGGATGTTTTTGAGTATTTTCACAAATACTCTAATACAGCTTTACAAGTTTTTTTTTTTTTTTTGAAATGGGTATCCGAGCCAATGCTCGACTAATCCCAGGCACATCCAGGGCTAAAGCATGCCCCTTTAGTAAATGTTGCACAGGATGTGTGAAGAGGGGTTTGAACCTGGGTTCAGCGCTATGAACTGCCCAGGCACTTACCACTCCACCACAACACTGATTGACAGTTTTACAAGTTTATAACCGCATTTAGACATTTTAACAAGCATCGTATAAGTTTTTTACAAGTTTTATATCCAAACTAGGGGTGTAAACGATACGAGACAACTCGCGAGCTACTCGAGATCGACTCGGTCAAGACTCGGTCAAAACTCGACTCGAATAGGCTCGGCTCAAACTCGAGCTCGATTCGACATATTAACGAGTCGAGTCAAGCTACCCAATATTCGACTAGAAAAACTCGTGAGATACTCGATTATTTCATATATAATTAGTTTTTATTATAAAATTTATAAAAATGTAAATAATAAAAATGTCTTATATTTTTAGATATTTGAACAAAATTATGCATTTTTTAATTATAAAAACAAATCAATTATTTTTTTTTTATTAAAATCACAATTAAAAAAGACAAAAAAAAAACTATAACAGTGTTGGTGAAATTGTCATACATTGGAAGAGAGATGGCAAAAGAAAGGAGAAAATATGTTATAAAAAGAGAGGGAGGTGAATGGAATTTTTAACTATGTCTTTTTGATGATGAAGTTTCAAGTGGATCCCTTTAGTTTTATAAAAACTAAGAGAACACCTTGTCTTAAAATTTATAAGAGAAACTCTAAAATTTCATAAATTTCAATGAGTGAGCTTGGTTCGAGCTTGATTCGAGTTTGAGTTCGAGCTTGTTTTGAGCTTCATATGAGTTCGAGCTCGAGTTCGAGTTTAAAGAATTGCAATCGAGTTCAGGCTTTAACTATTTGTGAGCTTTTGAGTCGAGTTTAAGCTTAAGAAATGGCTAGCGAGTTCGAATCGAGTATATTAATATTCGAGCTCGACTCGTATCATTTACACCCTTAATCCAAACCTCAACTTTTAGCCAGAAACGCTTTTCAATTAAATGGTAGTTTCAATTATTCAATATATTTTAAAGATTGAAAATCAATGCATAAGGTGAAGGGAAAAAAAGCAACCAACCTATAGATAAAAGACAGGATATATATAACTTTAAAAACAATCCTACATAACAGTAAGCAATTTTTTTTAATTTCTAATTTTTAATTTTTAATATTACTGTCAATGTCTGTAACAGCTTACAAACATCTTCACTGATCGTATGAGATCCTGAAATTAACAATTAAACAAACCCTTCGATGGCCCTAAAGCCAGGAACTTGAACCATGTTTTTTGAAGATTATGATATCGACGTTTAATCATGTCTTTTAAAGATTCTGATATCTCTCCAACGAGACTCCATATAGGACGAACCGTCCTTCTGGGAGTACAACCCGCACTTGAAATAATGCGATTTTCCACGGCGTCCAGCTCCATCATATTTGAGAACCCCATCTATGTAGACTTTAACAGTGTTGCGGTCCACGTCGTGTATAACGTTCAAACGAAACCACTTGTTGTATAAATTAGAAAGAATGACGGTTCTCCTGTAATAGTAAAGACTTGTGTCCTTCACTATGAGCATTGTGTTTGTAGCGTGTGGGGGGTTCGACCCAAAAACTTGCATCACACACACCCCGGTTGTCTCACGTGGCACGTATCCATAACCTTCGAATTGCCAAACACCTGAAGCGTAATCATAACCCTTCAAAATACGACAAAGTGTTCATTAGTTTGATTAGGTTGGACGTTATTTACGTCCTTTTGCTACAAAAAAACAGATTATCACTAACGGATTTATCTGTTGGTAATCTGTGGATATAAGCCATTAATGACAATTTTCAGATCGAAAAAATTTGTCGCTACCCTATTTCTAGCGGTGTGTTTGAGAAGATATTAATTACTCGAATACGAATCTCGGTACGTGGGCTGGTTTTGCTGGTTCTTGAGTGAGGTTTGTCTGTTTTAAACACCCAAAGCTTGTGAACGCCATTGGAGAAGCTGTATCGTTGTTGGAGGGGAACATCGTATGGCTTTTGGATGTCGAAATTGGATTGATTTAATGGTTGTGATACAAACCCTATTGTCGTGTCAATGGCTTCACATCTCATAACCAACAGAAAAACAAGTGAAATATACAACTCAAAATATGTTCGATGACTATTCATCTTTCAAGATCCTTGGATCACTATGGTTATGTTCAACTACATATACATAAATATGTATGTATATATATAGAGAGAGAGGGGGTGAAAACTGTAAATATATTGTAAGCATGTGAAAATCAATCCAGATAGATAGAATTTGTTTTGATTTTAAGTTATATTTCTTATTGTTTCATATATTTTGTTTTTGTATATATGTGTATGTATGTGTATTTGTGTGTGTTGTGTATAAACACATATATTCACATTTTTTTCACATGCGACATAGTGTTGAATGTTTCATAAATGAAACAATATTGTAGCTTAAAAAAATCGGTTTATATATAGAGGATAGATCTTTTACAAACTCAACTATTAGTATAAATCATATAAACTAATTAATTGAGATATTTATAAAATGATGAGAGTTTATTTATCATTATTTAAATAATTATGAAAGATTATCAAAACTCATTTATTATGATCAACATTTTATATTATAAAACAATCGAGATATTTATTGAATCATATATTAATTAGACTTCATGAACCATTGAGATGGTTTTACATAGTTTGTATTACTGCATTTGGGTTTCAGTTTGTAAATGAAACTACATCTCTCTCTCTCTCTTTATATATATATATATATATATATATATATACACACACACACATACACACAAACACACACAGAAGCGATCAAATGCAAACTACCCACTTTTATGCAAACCTTACAAACCAATCTCAATTACCATTTTCTTGATCAATGATCATGATTAAAATGTGTTATATTAAAAAAGTAAAAAATAAAATAAAATAAAAGGATTAATATTTAATCAAGAAAAGACAAAATTGACAAACCATTGTTCGTCTCTGTAAGACCCGAGTTTTAAAACATTTTCGTGAATTGTACCGTAGTTATAATTACGGTAAGTAATGGTTGAGGTTGAGGGGTTAAAACCGTCAAACTTCTAAACTCTTAATAATTATATATATATATATATATATATATATATATATATATATATATATATAAAGAGAGAGAGAGAGAGAGATGAACGATCAAATGCAAACCATCCAATTTATACAAATCGTGCAAACTTCATTCAACTAATCATAAATTTTTATTTTGTTAATTTTTTTTTTGTAATTTTGAGAGGTTCATTAATCATTTTTATATCATTTTCATTATTTTAATTTTAGATAAATATATGAAACAGTTTCATTAAAATTTCATTAAATATTATATGAAACAATTTCATAACCATATATGAAACAACTTCATCAAAAAAAGGTTTATATGAAACAATTTCATAAGATTAAACAATTTCATTAAAACATTTCATAAGATTAAACAATGAAATCGACAAATGAGAATGATTTGCACGATTTATACAAATTGGGTGGCTTGCATTTAATCGCTCCTCTCTCTATATATATAAAAGATGAAAAAAACCCATATGTAAGTTTCATCTTCACCGCCATTCTCTCCGTTTCATTTCTCTCTCTAAAAATCTCTCGTCTTCTCTCTAAATTTCACGTTAATTACCGAAGGAATCGAAATAACAATTATATATTTGGAATTCATTCTTCGAACCCTTTCTAAAGGTATAAATTTCATTCACTTTTATTAGGGTGTTTACGTTAGCATTTTTAGAACGATTTATAAATTATGTTATGTCTAAGTTTATGGATGAATATTGTTAAAAGTATGATATATTTCATGTTTAGAATGGTAGGATTAGTTAAATTGATGTAGAAATTAAAAGGGTAGATTATGGTTTCATTATGGTTAGATTTGGTGTATATGTTTAACCGCACACCAATTGTTCGATATAATACCGAAAAGAGTAAAAATGCATGATTAAGCTTAGGTTAGCGATTATTGGACTTGTTTTACTGTTTAGTATGTTGAAGTATGTTTATAGCACGTACATGTAGCGAATCATGAAAGTTGGATCATAAAAGTTAGTCGGGAATTGTGGAATCGGATTTTACCGACTATGCAGGTCCGTACTTTGACAGTGTATAACTTACAAACCTTAAGTCGGAATAAGCTCGTGTTTTTCAATTATAAAGCCTTTAATGTATACTACAACTTTCATGTAGGGTCGGAAATCAAGTTATGACTTTAAGTGGCTCAAAACAGTGTATTTTCGGGGCTGTTTGCACTGTATTTAGGATTGATCTGTTGTTTTATAAAATTCGTATAAAATAGATGGATAATTCAAATGAGGTGATGCTAAAACCAATAGTTTCATTGCATATCATACTACAACTTTCATTTAGATAGTATCTTCTGTATTGATCACTAAGTGGGGTAAAAATGCTCATGAAAATATGGGTCAAAAATTGTTAAAAGTCGAGAACGGAATTATATAAAGCTAATTTTGAGTCAATTTCTCAATGTGTATCTGGCTGTCATATTTGAAGTTTAAGTTGTTTATAAACATGTAGGACCTAAGTAATTTATTAGTAGAATTAGGATATGATCTTACGTCGTTGAAGTAATAACCGATTTGCGCATTCGTTAGGCACGTGAGCAAGTCGAACTTTACCATGAATCTCGTTTGATCGTGTTTTACTTCTCTATTCTGCCTAAGGTACGGATTTCACTTTCTTTGAATCTTGGGCAACTAGTTGTTGTAGTTGACCCTTCGTAACGGTGGTTCACCACTTTGTGATTGATCGCTTAAAAATGGTCAACAAATTACGTACTTATATATATATATATATATATATATATATATATATATATATATATACATACAAACTCTTGAATCCTTATCGTAAACACTTGATTTTAGTCCGTTTGAATTGTATGTCTAAGTGTTTTAATAGACTGCTTTATATGACTTAAGTTTATAAGACCAAACAACTGTATGTCTTCTATAAAAGCATTGCAATAAATTTATAAGATGCTTTGAGCATTTTAACAAATACTCTAATACAATTTTACAAGTTTATAACTGCTTTTAGACATTTTAACAAGTATCGTATTAGTTTTTTACAAGTTTTATATCCAAACTAGGGTTGTAAACGATACGAGACAACTCGCGAGCTACTCGATATCGAATTGGTCAAAACTCGACTCGAATAGGCTAGGCTTGAACTCGAGCTCGACTCGACATATTAACGAGTCGAGTCAAGCTACCCAATATTTGACTCAAAAAACTCGTGATATACTCGATTATTTTATATATAATTAAGTTTTAAAATACAATCAGTTTTTATAATAAAGTTTGTTAAAAAATGTAAATAATAAAAATGTCTTATATTTTTAAATATTTGAACAAAATTATGCATTTTTTAATTATAAAAACTAATCAATTATTTTTTTATTAAAATCACAATTAAAAAAGACAAAAAAAACTATAAAAGAGTTTGCGAAATTGTCCCATATTAAAAGAAAGATAGTAAAGGAATGGAGAAAAGATGTTATAAAAAGAGATAGAGGTGAATGAAATTTCTAACTTTGTCTTATTTGATGATGAAGTTTCAAGTGGATCCCTTTAGTTTTATAAAAATTAAGAGAACACCTTTAAGTCTTAAAATTTATAAGAGAATACCCTAAAATTTCATAATTTTCAATGGGTAAGCTTGGTTCGAACTTGATTCGAGTTTGAGTTCGAGCTTGATTCGAGTTGCAATTCGAGCTTGTTTTCGAGCTTCAAATGAGTTCGAGTTTAAAAAATTACAATCGAGTTGAGTTTAGTTTTTAACAACTCGTGAGTTTTTTAGTCGAGTTCGAGCTTGAGAAATGGTTATCGAGTCGAGTCGAGTATATTTATACTCGAGCTCAAGTCGCATCTTTTACACCATTAATCGAAACCTCAACTTTTAGTCGGAAACGCTTTTCAATTAAAGATTGAAAATTAATGCATAAAGTGAAGGGGGAAAAACAACTAACCTAAAGATAAAAAGACACAATACATATAGCTTTAAAAGCAATCCTATATAACACTAACAGTAAGCAATTTTTTTAAGTTTTTTATTATTATTATTATTGTCGATGTCTGTATCATCTTACAAACATCTTCGCTAAAATTAACAATTAAACAAACCCTCTGATGGCCCTAAGACCAGGAACTTGAACCATGTTTATTGAAGATTATGATATCGACGCTTAATTATGTCTTTTAAAGATTTTGATATCTCTACAACGAGACTCAATATAGGACGAATCGTCCTTTTGGGAGTACACCCTGCACTTGAAAAAATGCGATGTTCCACCATTTCCAGCTCCATCAAATTTGAGAACCCCATCTATGTAGACTTTAACAATGTTGCGGTCCACATCGTGTATAACGTTCAAATGAAACCACTTGTTGTATAAATTAGAAAGAATGACGGTTTTACTGGAATAGTAAAGACTCGTGTCCATCACTATGAGCATTGCGGTTGTAGCATGCGGGGGGTTCGACCCAAAAACCTGCATCACACACACCCCGGTTGTCTCACGTGGCACGTATCCATACGCTTCGAATTGCCAAACACCTAAAGCGTAATCATAACCCTTCAAAATACGACAAAGCATTCGTTAGTTTGATTAGGCTGGACGTTATTTACGTTCTTTTGCTGCAAAAAACAGACTATCTGTCGCTACCCTATTTCTAGTAGTGTGTTTTATATAAGAATAAGAAGGAAGAAAACGAGAAGATATTAATTACTCAAATACAAATCTCGGTACGTGGTCTGGTTTTACTGTTTATTGTATATATGCATGTGTATGTATGTGTATTTGTACATTTTTTTCACATGCAGCATAGTGTTGAATGTTTCATAAAATCGGTTTATATATAAAGGATAGATATTTTATAAACTRATTAATTGAGATATTTATAAAATGATGAGAGTTTATTTATAATGATTTGGATATTTATGAAAGAATATCAAAACTTATTTATTATGATCAACATTTTATCTTATAAAACAATCGAGATATTCATTGAATCATATATTAGTTAGACTTGATGAACCGTTGAGATGGTTTTACATAGTTTGTATTAATGCATTTGGGTTTGAGTTTGTAAATGAAACGACACCCCCTTTTGTGCA